ATCCGAGATATGCTCCCCATAATCCCAACATGTTTTTATGGCTAGATTTCCGCAATTTTGTTCACCCAAAACCACCAAAAATTCTCCGTTCGCACCAACGTGCTAACGGTATGAAACCGCACACTCGGAATCGTAAATAATCAACCCGCATGATCCAAAACTTGATATTTTGACCGTAAACAACTTTTTCTCCGATCAAAAATATCTAAATAACCTCCCGAGTTATATTCAACAAAAATAAGGCCAAAATTAATCTGACAAAATTTACGTACCGCGGTCGAACTTCTAGTCAACGACCGGGTCACTACATGCGCATCTACCAGCAGATCAAGAACCAGTCAAGAGGGAATCTCGGAACGGACCTGAAATATAGGAGCAGGAGGACGACCTAAAGAGGATCATCGCCTAATTTCCTACTAAGACCGAATACTCTAAATACTTGTATTCTCATACTTTCCATTGTAATCTGTTGATCTTCATCAATAAAATCCTTTCGTTCTTTAGCAATTCAATTATCAAAGCATCATTAAAAATCTAGCCCTCTTTGCCCATAAAAACTAAGAATAAATTTTGAGTGTGGATTTTAGCACCCACATTTTGGCGCCGTCTGTGGAGAAGAAATAGATTCTTCTGACACCGAAGCTAACGCCTCCGTTGCAAAACAACGAAAATGGATCCCATGTCCTCCGATTCCACGATATCCGGCTCCTCAGCTCTGATCTAAAACGTCATCGACCTGGAGCAACGCCTCCCGACGGATCTCCCATTGGGAATCCAAACCACAAACTCCCGTGAAAACAACACGGAGAACTTACCCCAAAATTCGACCTCGTCCGACTCGGAACAACCTCCTCCCCTCCCCCACGCAAGTCGAGGGAGAGAAGATTGCAGTACATCGCAATCTCCCAGCCAGATCGAACTGCCATTGCACAACCAGATCGGCATCACTGAGCAAATCGCCAGAAGATCCGCCGACGAACTGGCCGAACTCCTCAAAATGATCCTTACCTTGGTCGAAAGAAGCCAAACACAGGAAATCTTACACCGAAGCCTAGTCGCGCGGATGGAATAGCAATAGCACGAGCTCACCAACGTGTTACCTGAAGCAGGGAGGCTCCTTCCTTAGGCAACCCCAAATCCTCCTCCATCCGCCCTAGCGGTACGACTCCCCCCTCGGAATCGACCCCTCGAACTCACCTCGACTTTATGGGAATAGAGGTAACTCCTCGCGTAAATCGACAGGTCGCATACCTACGATCGATCGACCTACACCTACACCCTCTTCCCTGGGAAACCCATCCGCAGAAACAGAGACCCGAATCACACCGACCTTTCCCAGGTTACCGTCTCCACCGCTCATACCACGAGGCTACTCGCCGCCCAGGTACACGTGGTTACGGAACCAAACACCCGCATCAACTTCCCACGCCCCCGAGAACCTACCACAGTTACGAACTCCAGTTGGAGATCTCCCCTCTAGTCCCACCCAATTATGGACCTCGACGAGAAATCTTCAAAACGGCTCCGTAAACTCCCAAATGCCGTTTAACAATGCGAGACGCAGCATCCCACCTGTGTACTTCTCGAAGCAAACACAAACAATCGATCCTAGGGGCATCGTTGATATGAAAACCTTCCGCAACTACGCTGCGAGACCAATGCTAATATGGCCCAAATGCACTATAAGGTGCAGATGGCGGTGAGCTATGCTCCTGACATAGATCGAGTAATAGAAGGAATGAGACAAACTCCGTTCACGGATAGAATCGCTCACTTCCGTATACGCGATGCCGGAAAGTTCTGCTTCCAGAATATGACGGCACGACCGATCCGAAAGCTCACCTGAGGGCATTTCGCCTAGCCATAACAAGAGCATACCTAACCGACGAAGAGAGCGAAGCAGGACACTGACGCTTCTTCGGAGAAAACCTTGTAGGTCACGCCCTAGAATGGTTCGCGAGCCTCGAAGGGAACTCGATCGATAATTTCGACAAACTAGCAGCTGCATTCCTTAAACAGTACTCGGTGCTGATCGTAAACAGAACATCCAAAGCTGACCTATGGAACCTAACTCAGCTCCAGAACGAACCTCTGTGATCCTACATCGAAAAGTTCAAAACGACCAAATCAAGGATCGCCAATCTAAACGAAGAGGTTGCCCTAGAAGCCCTCCGCAATGGCTTATGGTTCTCCTAGAGATTCCGCGAGGAACTCACGGTCTGGTAAACTTCCACTTTAGATAACGTTCTCCACAAAACGCTCTACTTTACTCGAGCCGAGGAGGAAACCGCCTATCTAGCTCTCAAATTCAGAGAATCAAAAGGGCAGAATACCCTGTTTAACGCCAAGAAAATAGACATGAAATGATCCGAGTCCAAAATTACCAATAAGCTGCCGCCCTCTTCTACAACTCCAAGATCAAAATCTGGAGATTTTGTGCGGGGGAGCTTGTTCTCCGAAAAGTATTCAACAACACGAGAGAGCTAAACGCCGGAAAATTAAGCACCAGTTGGGAAGGTCCCTACTGGATTACCGAGATAGTCCGTGACGGCATCTACAAGCTCGAAAAAGTAATAAACGAGGTACCAGAGTTACGATCTTGGAATGTCATGCATTTCAAAAAATTATTACTACTGAGTACTCAAAACAATCGAACTATGATAAGGCTTGATCCTTTGACAGGGTACGTAGGCAGCTCCCCCCAAGAGCGAACCCACCACCACCACCAATCACATCCATGCCCCCGAGCGAGCAGCAAGAACGCTAAGGATGCCACTAAGATAAAAGTTGATCAGCTCGCGACTAAAAAGCATTTACAATTCGATTAATTCACTCGTAAGCTTACGATACAACAAGCTCAATACCTATACGATTGGCGGATCTACTTGGTGATCTTGCTTCCAAAAATCCGCAAATACGCTGCATGACCTGCACACCTAGAACAACCATGTCAAAACTCATCTCTTAGGTCTGCGACTTCGCAGCTCAACCCGCCGGTCCAAACCAAGAGAACTTGGCAGAATCATTCGCAATCTTGCGATACAACAAGCCCAATAACTAAAAATTGGCGGATCCACTCGATGATCTTGCTTCCAAAAGTCCGTAATATGCAGCATGACCTGCATAAATTCCGTCAGGCAAAGAACCTGGTCAAGGAGAATCTGGTGGTTTCATTCGCAATCTTGCGATCCAACAAGCCCAATGCCTCGAAATTGGCGGATCCACTCGATGATCTTGCTTTTAAAAGTCTACAAACAGGCAGTCTGACATGCCGAATTTTTGACTCAATAGAGCTCAACTAAAACTAATCCGCCAAACTCTGTTTCCCAGGTCCACAACTCCGCAGCCTAACTTGCCAAATCCGAACCGAGAAAACATTGCATATCCATCAATCAAAAAGGACGCAAACTCGTAGTCTATCTTGCTGAAGTCCTAACCAGCATTTCTACTTGAATATCTCACGAAAAAGAGCTTCAAATCTCAGCCATTTGTTCGCAGATCCAAGCTAACAGTCAAATAAACTTGATCTAATCCAAGTCTTACGTACCTGAGACAATATTTCTGCTATCACACCTAACCTGGATTTTCGCTCATCGAGGGGTCAAGTATTTCTGGGAGCGGTACACGAGCCAGTGCAGACATCATCATATGGAACCTTGGAGGTCCCTAGCTCTCTTGCCGTTATGCTCCCAGCTGCATATCCCAATACAATGTTCGACGAAATTTGGTGTTGTCCCATGTTGACGAATAAAAATATTTAAAAAGTATTAAAAAACAACTATAATAAAATAATTTTATTGACTAAAATAGCGGAACAATAATTAAAAAATACATTCTATATTCAATACAAAGATATTTTGTGTATATAATCAATTACTATTTATTATTTAAAATATTAATTCTTATAATTAATTAGCTTTTTCAATTTCAAGGCTACGCTAAAAGAGTGAAAAAAAAGAAGGATTTTTAATTCTTTTTTCATTTTGTTGTCACTTTTTACAAATCCCTAAAAACAATAAAATTATTTAGGGGGTGTTATTCAATCATGGAGTTAAAGTCAATTCTTTAAGGTTTAGATTTGATTTCTAATATTGTTTTTAAGAATCTGTTTGTGTGGATTTCGAAATCTCTGCAGTATATCTTGGATTTTGATTCTAATAATTTACTCATGAAACTCAAAAGAGATTTCATTTCAAATAATTTAATATACAAAGATTTTAAAAGTCTTTTAGTTTTGAATAACACTGTATTTTAATGAAGTATTTTAAATCTTAGCTGAATAACACCAAACTATTAAAATCTAATGAAGTATAAGATCCAATAACACCAGATTTTAAAGTTAGATTTAGAATCATTAGTTGAATAACACTGGATTAGTTAGGCCTGGTCAAAAATATGGATCCACATAGAACCGAACCAAACCGAACCGAAATTGATGGGTTCGGTTCCGGTTCTAGTAAAAATATCGATTGGATCTTGAATCAAATATTCATGGGTATCGGTTCGGTTCGGGTAGAAACCGATATCCATTCGGGTACCCGAAAAATATAGCCTGTTAACCTATATTTATATAACCCAAAGTTTCAAACCCATCAAATCCTAAACCTAACTACCCAAGCCCAAAAGCCTACCATAAACCTAACCCAAAGTCTCTCTTAGCCTCTTATATATTCCTTTCTGCGCCCCAAACCTAGAAACCTATTTTGTTCACTCTTTCTCAAAGACAGAGCAGAAAAAAACTCTCTCTTGTGTTTTATGGTATCTTTAAAACTTTGGGTGTCTTTTGACCTAATACTTTCCAAGTTTCAACTATTTTTTGGATTTGTAATGGTATAATGACTAATATGTGATGGTTTATTGCATATTTACATAATTGCATTTGAATTTTGCATTATGATTATATTATTACTAGTACGGGCAAAACTTTAATCAAACTTACAGATAAACCAACTAATTTTTTTCTTTACCACTTCAATCTTAAAATATAAATCTCTGTCACATGTTGTTATATTAACAAAATGAAAATCAATTTTAATGTATACCTTAAAATGTGGGTTTGTTCTTGAGAGAGCGTGAAGAGTTTAGGAGTGCAGATAATTGGTGGTGTTTTGGTCAGTATAGTTCATCGTCGTGGCCATGGTGTTGTGTTCTTGAGTTTGAAGCATGGCACCACCAATTAAATACAAAGTTTATGAATTCACTGTAGTTAAGCTCTTATTGAGGCTATGTTTTGAGTTGTTAAATGCATCTTGATCTGCTATAAAAATTTTAGCATTTCTTGTAATCCTGAAACAAAACATCAATGAAAATATAAACGGATGAGTTATTATAAATCATTTTTTCCAAGCAAACATCACTTGTAGAAAGAGTTTTCTCTGCAAAACAAAGTATTCACGTAGACAAAAGTTGTGTGTTTTAAACAAAGTCTAAATGCAGACAAAAGTTACGCTCTTATTAATGTTTTTCAACCTTCATATTACTACATGTACCACCACAATTAAAACTTGCAATTTATTTGAACACAACAAAAAAAACGTCGAGGATATATCTGTTGTTTGTTACTTTGCTAAGTTTTAAACTCTTAACATCTTAGCATCATACTAATAGACAGGATGGTAACAGAAATAGATCTTTATAGAGTTGAACAAACCAACTATTGGTTTGACAATAAAAGAAAATAGAATTGGATGAAACTGTATAGATCATAAATCAAAAGGAGGCTCTGCTATCGAAGGTTTGAGCAGAGTAATTCACTTCGGGTCATAAATAAGCTTCACATTATTTGGTACTAATTGAGATTCAAGTACCTGTAGATAAGAACATCTGTTTGGGGTGATAGATTTCTGTCTGAAAGTTGTCGGAACGAATTTCGATTCAAAAAACGACGGCGTAATTAGGAACATCTTGAACATAAACCTGCAAATCCAAAAGTAAAATCAATCATTTAAGACGGGAACAAATTGAGAAATAAAGAATTTGATGATTATAAAAACGGCGATTAACAAAATAAGCCAGATTCAAGAAATGTGAAAACAAATTGTAAATTGCAAAGACGAAGATACATGTGATTGATGATAACCCTCAAATTAGAACATGGAACGACAAATTCAATTTTTTTTTATCTGATTGAAAAAGGAAGAGATGTGGAGGCTTTTTTTTGTAGAAAATCATGTTGTTGCTCTTATTGTTGAAAAAGAGAGGCGAAGTGGAGCATTTTGAGATCATGGGAACGAAGCAGTTGAAGAAACGATTGATCATCTTTTTTCTAATTTTTTTTCTCTTTTGCTTTTTGAATAATTAGGTTTATGTTTAGAAAAAAAAATTGAAAGACTAAAATTTGAGACTTAAGACACATGTCAGAAAGAGAAGGTTGTAGTTTTTTGTGAATTGACTTGTCACTTATTATATAAAGATTTTCGGTTCCAAAAATACCCGAAACAATTTGGTTCCTATTCGGTTCTAAAATTTATTACCCGAACCGAACCAGAACCGAACCGATTTTAATTTGGTTCCAATATGGTTTCTAAATCTCAGAACCAAAATACTAGGAACCGAATGGTTCGGTTCTAGAAACCGAATCGAATACCCAAACGTCCAGACCTAGGATTAGTGTTGGATTTCATATCTATTAGAATCCATCATCGAATAACACCTAGTGAATATACTTCTAATAAAATCTTATAAAACTAAAAGGGAAAATTGGATATAAAGGATAAATAATTAAGCTATTGTCCATCAATGCATTCTATGACTAAATACCACATATTCCTAATTTACCCTTTGTAGTTGGTTTAACTAGTTTTTCAAATAAAATTTAGAACAATTTGTAGGCAAATGAAAAAGAAGTCATGAAGATTCTTATAATGTCGAAAATATATCGTTTTTGTTACAGTTTTGGATAAATAAAATATGATCTACGAAGTTTAGAATACACATTCTGAATTTAGAATGTGTATTCTACACATTGCTTATGTTTAATTAAATTTAGATAATGTATTCTATGCACTTTACATGTTCTACGAAATTTAGAACATATTTCTGTTCTACGGTATTTAGATAGCTAATTTCTACGAAATTTAGAATACATATTCTATACTTTGCTCTTTTTTCTAGAAAAACTAGAACATCATTTCTAAAATTTACCCATGTTCTAAAATCGTTAGAAAACACATTCTTATATTTTTTTTATTCTACAAAAAATAGAAAACAAATTCTATATAATTTAGAATTTCTTTTTTTAAAAAAGGAAACTAAATCTTTAAATAAAGAAATTGAATATTTTAATATTAAATATGATAAAATTGAATATTAAGGTTAAGATTATGTCTACAAATTTTAGAACATGTATTCTAATTAGTTTAGAAATCTTACGTCTACAAATTTTAAAAAATGTATTATGTCTACAAATTTTACGTCTACAATAATCCAACACATGCAAAGAAATCTAGAATTTTACATATATATACAAGCTCCAAAGAATTGAAAAAATCCTAAAAACTACCAAAGGATAAAATCGAAGAATTTGACGTCAAAAGAATCGAAGAAGATGTTACCATAAAAAAAAATCAAACAAAAAAAATATTTGGAATTATCTAGGCAAAAAATTTGGAAAGTAAATAAATATTGTTTTTGCCCTATATTTTTCCAACTGCTTTTAGAAAGAAATCTAATTAATTTTGGAATTTTTTTTATAGTTTAGCAAGATTTAAAGAAACTAGGGACAAAATGGGATTTTAATTATATTAAAGCATATATGACCAATATTAAAACATATATGATCAATTATAAATATAGAATGCATAGATGGACAATAATTTAATTATTTATCCTTTATATCTAATTTTCCCAAAAATTGGATATAAAGGATAAATAATTAAGCTATTGTCCATCAATGCATTCTATGACTAAATACCACATATTCCTAATTTACCCTTTGTAGTTGGTTTAACTAGTTTTTCAAATAAAATTTAGAACAATTTGTAGGCAAATGAAAAAGAAGTCATGAAGATTCTTATAATGTCGAAAATATATCGTTTTTGTTACAGTTTTGGATAAATAAAATATGATCTACGAAGTTTAGAATACACATTCTGAATTTAGAATGTGTATTCTACACATTGCTTATGTTCTATTAAATTTAGATAATGTATTCTATGTACTTTACATGTTCTACGAAATTTAGAACATATTTCTGTTCTACGGTATTTAGATAGCTAATTTCTACGAAATTTAGAATACATATTCTATACTTTGCTCTTTTTTCTAGAAAAACTAGAACATCATTTCTAAAATTTACCCATGTTCTAAAATTGTTAGAAAACATATTCTTATATTTTTTTTTTATTCTACAAAAAATAGAAAACAAATTCTATATAATTTAGAATTTCTTTTTTAAAAAAAGGAAACTAAATCTTTAAATAAAGAAATTGAATATTTTAATATTAAATATGATAAAATTGAATATTAAGGTTAAGATTATGTCTACAAATTTTAGAACATGTATTCTAATTAGTTTAGAAATCTTACGTCTACAAATTTTAAAAAATGTATTATCTCTACAAACTTTACGTCTACAATAATCCAACACATGCAAAGAAATCTAGAATTTTACATATATATACAAGCTCCAAAGAATTGAAAAAATCCAAAAAACTACCAAAGGATAAAATCGAAGAATTTGACGTCAAAAGAATCGAAGAAGATGTTACCATAAAAAAAAATCAAACAAAAAAAAGATTTGGAATTATCTAGGCAAAAAATTTGGAAAGTAAATAAATATTGTTTTTGCCCTATATTTTTCCAACTGCTTTTAGAAAGAAATCTAATTAATTTTGGAATATTTTTTATAGTTTAGCAAGATTTAAAGAAACTAGGGACAAAATGAGATTTTAATTATATTAAAGCATATATGACCAATATTAAAACATATATAATCAATTATAAATATAGAATGCATAGATGGACAATAATTTAATTATTTATCCTTTATATCTAATTTTTCCAAACTAAAAATACAATAAGAAAAAGTGAAATGGAGATACGGAGGTGGATTGGGATGAGCTGTCCCCACCTGCAAAAATACGCACGCTTCACTGTCTAAAAGATGCTTATCTCTCTTTCTCAATCCCTTGACAAATCTTTTTTAACTTTTTTTTCATTGGTGCCTAAAATTAGTAAACAATAATGTTGTAATAAAATAATGTAAATGAAAAATAACAGAATTTGGTGTGGAAAAAAACACTTATATAAATTGTGAAAGGTCAAGTTATTTTCTATCCTAATTTTAATTTTCGTAAATAATCAAAACAATGATCTTAATGACGGCATATATATTTAATTTAATAATAATTCCCTCTTGCTGGAAAAGTCATCCACCTGCTTTTTCATCATCAAACCCTTTTTTTCCTCATCTCTCTGAAGAAGACAAGAGTCAAAACTTGAAGGCGACAATCAGACCTTCCATGGCCGTTTCTTCATCTTCCACCAAACCCTAATTTCAATCTCATCTTCTTGTCCTCTTCTTTCACACCGGAAAATGGATCGAAACAACGACACCGCCGCCGTCACCGGAGGAGGAGCAAGACAACTAGTTGACGCATCTCTCTCAATCGTTCCCAGATCTACACCATTAGAAGACTCAACACTCGCAACAACCTCATCTACGACGACTACAACGAAGCGGTCGACTAAAGACCGTCACACGAAAGTCGACGGAAGAGGACGGCGGATTCGTATGCCGGCGCTTTGTGCAGCTAGGGTTTTTCAGTTAACGAGAGAGTTAGGTCATAAATCTGATGGTGAAACTATTGAATGGCTTCTTCAACAAGCTGAGCCAGCGATTGTTGCTGCTACAGGTACAGGAACTATTCCGGCGAACTTTTCTACTTTAAGTGTTTCTTTACGAAGTAGCGGTTCGACTCTCTCTGCTCCGCCGTCGAAATCGGTGCCGCTCTACGGTGCTCTTGGATTGACTCATCAGTATGATGAACAAGGAGGCGGCGGTGTGTTTGCGGCTCATACGACGCCGCTTTTAGGGTTTCATCATCATCTTCAACAGCAACAACACCATCATCAGAATCAGAATCAAGATCCGGTGGAAACAATTCCTGAAGGTGAGAATTTCTCTAGGAAACGGTATAGATCGGTTGATTTGTCTAAAGAAAACGATGATCGGAAACAGAACGAGAATAAATCTTTGAAAGAAAGTGAAACGCCGGGTCCTGCGGCGGCGCCGATGTGGGCGGTTGCTCCGCCGAGTAGGTCTGGTGCTGCAAATACTTTTTGGATGCTTCCGGTACCAACAACGACCGGTAATCAAATGGAGAGTAGTAGTAACAATACCACCACCGCAGGCCACCGTGCTCCTCCTATGTGGCCATTTGTGAACTCTGCTGGCGGAGGAGCGGGTGGCGGAGGCGGAGCAGCGACTCATTTTATGGCGGGAACGGGGTTTAGTTTTCCGATGGATCAGTACAGAGGAAGTCCACTTCAATTAGGTTCGTTTCTAGCTCAGCCGCAACCGACTCAGAACTTAGGTCTAAGTATGCCAGACTCGAATCTCGGGATGTTAGCCGCTTTGAACGCGGCTTATTCGAGAGGCGGAAACGCAAACGCGGATGCGGAACAAGCGAACAATGCGGTGGAGCATCAAGAGAAGCAGCAACAGAGTGATCATGATGATGATAGTAGAGAGGAGAACTCAAATAGCTCTGAGTGAGTGATGTAAACTAATCTTGTGGAAGCATTGAATTTGGTAAGAAATTGAATTTAAGCGTTTGTAGCGGTTTGGTTGATTGTTTTTTTTGTGAGAGTTTGTGTGTTGTTGTTTAGACAAGAATTTGTGTGTGAAGGAATTGTTAGGTTTGGGTCCAAATGGACTCTCGTGGGTAGAGAATGTTTTCAATGTATAGAAGGAATGATAGGACCCTTCATTTATTTTCTATTTTCATTGTTGAGTTTCGTATATTTTGTAGGACTTATTTTGCAATGAAACCAAAAAATAAAAATGCATAATTAATTGCAATTCTTCTCATGTTTTCCTCAAAAATTTTAACTCGTGAAATTGATTATAAACAACAATGAGAACACATTTTATCTTCAATTATATAATTCTCCGAAATGTTTTTGGGATGTTTTTTTATAGATGATCTTTGTGGTTGGAGACATTGGTAGTATCGGCGCAGAAATTTTTAACTATTAAATATGCAAACTCAGCATCGATTCTTTCAGAATGAATTTGGAGAATTATAATTGAAGACGATATTATTCCCTTATAAGTTATAACTAATGGTTGAAAAAAAAAAAAAAAACTAATGGTTTATGAGCGATTGTTCGGGTAAGAATTGCGGATCTTCTCGAATGGTTAGTTTGTTTTTTTTTTTTTTTTTTTTTTCCAAAATTAATTAGAGATCAAAGCCATTCTTGAGGAATGTTGTTTACATACGTAATATGAAGCGGTTCTGTACGAACTTGTCGTGCAAGATTATTCGCTTTTGTATTAGCACTACGAAAAATTAAAGATAAAGAAAAACTTGAAAATTCTTCTTTGTCGCTCTGAAATTCCTCCAAATAGACTGAAAATGCCGGCCATTCGGTTGGGGAAGACACCATCTTCACCAGGTCAGAACAGTCTGTAAAGAACGCTACCTCTTGGTTATCTGCACCAATCATACACTTCATTGCCCAAAGAAGGGCCTCGACTTCTGCATGTAATGGAGATAGACTTCTACGGAGATTCGCTGCTCCCATTGTTGGCGGTTCTCCAGTTGATGATGTACAAAACCATCCTGTCCCGGAGAACTTGTCGCTTTCTTTCCATGATCCGTCCACAAAACAACGGTATCCCGAGTAGGTCGGGTTAAGTTAGGCATCCCTCACTCGATATCGATTTACCACTTCCACATGGCCCTAAGTTTCATTAGTAAGCTCTAGTTGAGCTGAAAGCCATAATTGTGCCTCTTTTTCCGCTAACCGTAATACTTCTAATGGATCATTATCTATATTTTCAAATATTTTTTCATTTCTTGCTTTCCAAATATACCATATAATCCATGGGAAAGCTGATGAGTCGAATTCCGAAGGTATTCCCCAGAATAAGTGATCCAAATTCACATAAATAGATTCCGTGGGGAAATTCTCCATTACTGTAGGAATCTATGAAAGCGCCTGATATAAGATTGGAATCACACCAAACTTATTGATCACACGGTTTCAAGGCCTACGGCTTGAATGGATCGAAGTTCGCCACACAAAGCTGCGGAATGACTTTGCGATAAGAACACGAATCAATGTCTACGTGAATCACACACAAAGACAAAGATCAAACTTGCTTTCTAAGGGAATCACACACAATAGAAAAGACAAGCAACAAAGCCGAAGCTTTAAAGGTGAGAAAACTTCTCAGTTTTTCTATTTCTTTCAAATTCAAGGGTGTCTTTTATAATGACATGAGATGAGCTTATATAGGCTCGTACACAAATGTTTTAAAACAATAAATGAGAAAATAAATCAACATAAATACAAATAAATTAAACTAAATGATAAATCAATCAAAGGTTTGATTGATATGGCCTTTAATGCTCGATTTTGGGCCAAATGAGGAAAATGTGAGAGTTCTTTGTATCTAGACAACTTTGGCATGAAGTAGTGACGTTTTGGAGTTGTCTTTATGGTGTGGAAGGTCTCCAAATCAGGCTGGTCGAATAAATCAAGAAGATATATCCATGCGACATTAATTGCTTGATTTAGCGCCGAATATGGAAAGTCGAGGTGTGGACTGGTCCAATTGATCTCATGCTTGATAGTACACCTTAAAACACTATTAGGAGCCTTTAAATCATAGGAAAAGTCTCTTGGTCGCCAAAGGTAAGTCTGTAGTGATCCAAATAAGGAAATTGCCGAATTTGGACAGTTTTGGACCACCCGGTTTGTGATCTCGGTTCTAGTCAGGTTTGAACCATTATGGGCCGTTTCTTGCTTCTTAGTGGATCCTTGATGGGTCAAGAATATGGAGAAATGAGGGTCTTGGCTTAGTTCACCGTGGTTGGGCTTGTGCTCTTCAATCTTGGTCCGTACATCTTCTTCATCAAAACTGTCTATGCACGATTTGTTGGAACATACCTTTGTGTGTTCTTGGATATATTCTTCAAGGATTACCTTTTTCTCCTCTTGAATAGGATTAGATTTTATGTCCTCATCATACCCTCCTCCTTCAAAAAGTTTTGTCCTCAAAACTTGTTCACATGGCTTGTGATGGACGTGTGCACGTGTGGGGTGTTCTTGTTGAACTTTTGGTGCACGCTTGCGGATTGGCCTTCTGCCATAGCGCTCCTTGATATCTTCAGGAAAATCGCTGGGTATATACCTCTCGTCCATGAAAAGCTTGAGCTCTTCCCAAGTGTTGATGGGTGGCTCATTGTAGTACCAACGTTCTTCTTCTTCTAGATTCCACCATGATGCGGCTTCACCTCGTAATTGTTTGATGACTAGTGGTAGTCTCTCGTGTTCAGGCATTCGGTGGTGCCAAATACAACTATCCATGTGTGCGGTCCAAGATAGATATGCTTCAGGTCCATATCCTCCTTGAAAAACTTTTGGTCTTAACATGAAAACTGAAATAAGGAAAAATGATTTTTTTTTTTTTTTAACGAAAGAAACAAAATAAAAAATGTTAAAAACGATTTCTTTTTTTTTGAACTTTTTTTTTAAATATGAAACAAAAGAAAACGAAATTGAAAACTATAAAAGGTAGGAGCTTTTAGCTCTGATACCAAATGATATAAGATTGGAATCACACCAAACTTATTGATCACACGGTTTCAAGGCCTACGGCTTGAATGGATCGAAGTTCGCCACACAAAGTTGCGGAATGACTTTGCGATAAGAACACGAATCAATGTCTATGTGAATCACACACAAAGACAAAGATCAAACTTGCTTTCTAAGGGAATCACACACAATAGAAAAGACAAGCAAACAAAGCCGAAGCTTTAAAGGTGAGAAAACTTCTCAGTTTTTCTATTTCTTTCAAATTCAAGGGTGTCTTTTACAATGACATGAGATGAGCTTATATAGGCTCGTACACAAATGTTTTAAAACAATAAATGAGAAAATAAATCAACATAAATACAAATAAATTAAACTAAATGATAAATCAATCAAAGGTCTGATTGATATGGCCTTTAATGCTCGATTTTGGGCCAAATGAGGAAAATGTGAGAGTTCTTTGTATCTAGACAACTTTGGCATGAAGTAGTGACGTTTTGGAGTTGTCTTTATGGTGTGGAAGGTCTCCAAATCAGGCTGGTCGAATAAATCAAGAATTTATATCCATGCGACATTAATTGCTTGATTTAGCGCCGAATATGGAAAGTCGAGGTGTGGACTGGTCCAATTGATCTCATGCTTGATAGTACACCTTAAAACACTATTAGGAGCCTTTAAATCATAGGAAAAGTCTCCTGGTCGCCAAAGGTAAGTCTGTAGTGATCCAAATAAGGAAATTGCCGAATTTGGACAGTTTTGGACCACCCGGTTTGTGATCTCGGTTCTAGTCAGGTTTGAACCATTATGGGCCGTTTCTTGCTTCTTAGTGGATCCTTGATGGGTCAAGAATATGGAGAAATGAGGGTCTTGGCTTAGTTCACCGTGGTTGGGCTTGTGCTCTTCAATCTTGGTCCGTACGTCTTCTTCATCAAAACTGTCTATGCACGATTTGTTGGAACATACCTTTGTGTGTTCTTGGATATATTCTTCAAGGATTACCTTTTTCTCCTCTTGAATAGGATTAGATTTTATGTCCTCATCAGCGCCCAAGTCTGTCGTGCCGGGTGGCACTGGAAAAGTGTCTGATTAATTGTTTCCTCAGATGCGCAGCATCTGGCACATCCTAAATCACAATCAATTCCTCTTTTCTGCAGATTCTCCGTAACCGGTACACAACCCGTCAAAATTTGCCACAAAAAATGTCGTATCTTAGGTGGGCATTGCACTTTCCAAGAATGTGCTTTTAGCGTTGTTATGCTTGGCCCCACTTGAGATATATTAGTTTCCGACTGTTCTATCCATGAAGTATGATATCCCGATTTAACAGTATATTTACCTGTTTTTGTAAAAATGTCAACCCAGAGTATCTTCCTTAGTTGGCGCACCCACTGGTAAGGCACTTATTAGCGCGACATCTTCTGGATCAAAGATCGCCTGTAAGAGATCAATATTCCAAAATTTTGACCGACTATCTATAAGATTGATAACTTTTAAGGATGGATCAATAAATGACCCATTGCTTTTTGCTGGTCTCGGGGATTGAGCTGGAATCCAGGGATCATCCCAAACTGAGATAGAAGCCCCAGATCCAACTCTTTTAATAAGTCCTTTATTAACCAGAGATCTAGCTGAACATATATTCCGCCACCCATAAGATGGGGAGTATGATTTTATATTCTCCAAAGGGTTAGTTTTCCGAAAATACCTCCCTTTGAAAACCTTTGCGAAAAGAGAATCAGGAACCGTAATCAACCGCCATAATTGTTTTGCTAATAAGGCTGAATTAAAATCATCTACATTCCGACATCCTAATCCTTCGTCCGATTTACTATTACATCATTTATTCCAGGCCAACCAGTGCATACCTCTAGAATCCTCATTCGAACTACACCAAAAGTTAGCAACCGCACTAGTGAGTTTTGAAGTGATTGTTTTCGGTAGTCTGAAGCACGACATTACATACGTTGGTAATGCTGCAGGTACCGATTTAATCATCACTTCTTTTCCTCCTTTCGATAAAAATTTGGCCAACCATCCGTTAATTCTTGTTTGTAATCTATCTCTAACAAAAGAGAAATTTTTTGTCTTGGAGCCACCTAAACTTTCCGGCAGTCCGAGATAAGAGCCCATACCACCGATAGTAGTGATACCCAAGGTAGATTTTATTTCATCCTTGATGTTATCATCTACCTTATGTCCAAACTGAATTGATGACTTTAAAAAGTTTATCTGCTGTCCTGAGACCGCTTCATA